GTGTGTGTCACACATTATGAAATGGACAAAGTCCGACAATTATTTATCGTCATTTGTTTACATTTGATATGCCATGAGCAGATATGAATGAACATGAGAGATTCAGGCAACTGAGGGAAATTATACTGAGAGTTGCCTAGCCCTGGGGAACAGCTGCCCGAGGCCGCACCTTCTCATTGCACTAGAGAGAAGGATCGGTGCACGCACCGAGGCCAGCGCAACCGACGGTTCCGGGGGCTCGGGGAATTTTTGTTCCTTGCCCGGGTGCACGCGCTCGGGCTCCCCACATTAAACCGACCTTGTGTCACAACCTGACCTCGTGGTGGGGGTCAAGTAAATACCGTGTAAATTACTATAAAGTAGCGCTGAGGCTTTTAAATCTCAGAATTCGTGGGAGTTCCAATTTCTCATTTATTTATATAGATTCCATAATATAGGTTTTACTTAATTAGCTATTATGTTTCTCTAACTTTTCAAATCTTGAATGTATAACTAATTCTATTTTCTATTTTCCCATCTTTACAATATATTAATTTTATCTTATAAATTGTCCCCTGTTCTGTCAACCATGAAATAAAAATAATTGTTTGTACGGAAAATAACGAACTACCTTCATTAAAACGTCTTTAAATTAAGTGGCAGCAGAAGAATTATCAATGAACTTTTTGTTGTGGATTCCGGGATGAAATCCGGTCTCAAATGAATGACAAACGCAGGACTGGAATATAGCAAATAAAGGTATTGACGTAATTATACAATTGGTAATACAGTTAGTAGATCCAGAAATGCGGTTAGTAGCAATAATAATATATATATATATATATATATATATATATATATATATATATATATAGTCTGGGAAATTCAGTATCAAGTATGACTTCCTTCTGAGTCTACATGCTCGCAACTGTGACTCCTACAAAGCGGTTACCTCACAATCTCACTCTCACTGTATCACTGTATTACTGTCACTCTCTGTCTGACTTCCGGGTATTCACCGGCAGCAGTACAAGTACACACTGGACGAGTCCACTTGTATGAAAAAGGGGTGGACCCCTTAACACTTTTAAAAAGGTAAGCTTAAACATTAATTCAATATTTAAATGCAGCGATCCCTTTTGAATTCTGTAGTTTATTGATGTCTATCGCATCTACTCCTCCCTAACTATTGTGATGATCGCCAAACCAAGAGTCCTCCACAGGAGCTAGGAGCTAGCTTAAATGCCGCCCGATAGGGAGGCTTTTAAGCTCGCTTAAAATTTTGGATACAAAAGGAAAATAAGGGTTACTCCCCTTGAAGAATGAATGCAACGATAATGGCTAGTATAATATATTAATATATATATATTTAACCTTGCATAATCTGTCAACCCTGAATCTGAATTCAACAAAAATCGCTCCATGCGCCTAACTTTTCTAGGGCTTTTGAATGAGCTATGAATCATTAAAATCGGACCAGTGGGAGTGGAGGAGTTGCTTGGACACGCACGCGCACAACCACAAACGCATCCATTGTTTCCTCTTACGTGTAAGTCTGCCCTATCTAGTCCACGGATGTCAACAAATCCCCCAACTAACATTTTAATTCACTAGGCCATTAACCCCATACCAGTATTTTAGACAGAAATCATAGTAATTTCTTCAGTGTAACTACTGAATATACATTTGAGTTTTGACCCGCTTTCTGGATTTTACAAATACGATGTCGCATTAATAGAGAAAAACATTAAACTATATTTCTCGTTTGCTAGAGCGAAGTAAACAACTGATGTGTTGGCATATCCAGAGTGAATGCTGCTGACCCCATCTGTGTTGAAACTAAAAAATCTTTGGAGCTCCAAGTAATTTAAAATGAATGGAAAACTTCAGCTCAAGACATCAAAATTATGTTTTGACTTAAGAAAGTCCCTGAAGGAAAGTTTAAAAAAAGAAGAAAAACCGGATCAATACCGCTTGCGGGCAGCAGAGAGTTAAATTGATGCCAAGCTAAAAATAAATATTCTCAATTAATTTCGAGCTTATTTTTCAGGTATGTCCGAAGCGTAAAAGCCAATTTCTTTTTTCTTTGTAACTTTCTTTTTTTTTGTCTTTTTCTTTTATATTTTTATGGTCAACCGTTCTTTCTTTCTATTTTCTTTCTTTCTTTCTATTTTCTTTCTTTCTTTTTTTTCCTTTTTTCTTTTTTTCCTTTTTTCTTTTTTTATGGTCGTCATGTTTTATTTTGGTTTTCATTCTCGATTCTTTATATCTATCATATTTTTTTCAAATTTCTTTCTTATTTTCAGATTTCTTTCTTTTATTAATTGTACCCTCTTTCTTTCTTTCTTTCTTTCTTTGGTTTCCTTCCTCTTACAAGGTTACCTTCTTTTTGTTTGTTTCTTTTATTTTAAGACCATCTTGTTTTTGTTAATTCTTTCTCGTTTCTTTTTAGCATTTTTCTCGACTCTTTCATTCATATTTTCTGATTTCTTTCTGTTATTGATTGATTCTTTCTTTCTTTCTTTCTTTTTTCTTTCTTTCTTTCTTTGGCCTCCTTTTTCTTACTTGACTAATTTCTTGTGTTTTCTTTTATTTTATGACCATCTTTTCTTTTGATTTTCCTTTCTCCTTTCTTTTCATTCATCATTTTCGCGACTTTCTTTCGTCCTTCTTATCAGTCTCTGACGTTTTCGTCTTATTTTCTTTTGTTGTTTATTTTCTTTTCTTCTCTGTTTTATATTTTCTTTCTTTCTTTATTTCTTTCATTCTTTCTTTATCTTGTTTTTTTTTGTTTTCCTTCTTCTTTCTTGGCTACCTTCTTGTTTGTTTGTGTCTTTCTTTTGTTTTATAACCATTTTGTTTTTTCTTTCTATATATTTTTTCTAGACTTTAATTCTTTCTTAATGTTATATACTGTACCTATAAACACTAACAGTTATGTCCTCATAAATACATTGGACACTATTTTAAGTGGGGGTAATATGTTGTCTAAGTAATCCACCATTAGCAGTGGTTTACCTACTTCAGGTCGCTGGCGAGTATTGTATTTTGTTGATGTTATAAAGATTACCATTTCATTTCTAACCACAGTTTTGGTTATTCCTCATTCAGTAACCCTATCTAGGTTACAATACTTAATTTCTGGTTTCTTTCTGTTATTGACTGGTATTTTTTTCTTTCTTTCTTTCGTTTTCTTCTGACTTGGCTATTTTCGTGTTTTCTTTCTTTCTTTCTTTTATTTTATGATCATCTAGTTTGTTTTTCTTTTTCATTTCTTTCTATGTATGATTTTATCATGTTTTTCTATCTTTCTTTGACTTCCTTGCGCTTATTGGTTACCTTTACAAGGTCGGCTTGTTTATTTATTTATTCTTTCTCCCCTGTTTTATCTACTATATTTCTCGACTTTCTTTAATTGCTATCTTCTGATGTCTTTCTTCTATTGATTCTTTCTTTCTTTCTTTCTTTCTTTCTTTCTTTCTTTCTAGGCTCCATTCTTTCTTTCTAGACTCCTTTTTCTTTTCCTTTTCTTCTTCTTTATTTTATGGTCACATTTCTTTCTTTCTTTCTTTCTTTATTTTATGGTCAACTTTCTTTCTTTCTTTCTTTCTTTCTTTCTTTCTTTCTTTCTTTCTTTCTTTCTAGGCTCTTTTCTTTCTTTCCTTTTTTTCTTCTTCTTTATTTTATGGTCCACATTTCTTTCTTTCTTTCTTTCTTTCTTTTTTCTTTCTTTTTATTTTATGGTCACCTTTCTTTCTTTCTAGTCTCCTTTCTTTCTTTCCTGGTTCCTCTTCTTCTTTATTTTATGGTCATCTTTCTTTCTTTCTTTCTTTCTTTCTTTCTTTCTTTCTTTCTTTCTTTCTTTCTTTTATGGTCAACTTTCTTTCTTTCTTTCTTTCTTTCTTTCTTTCTTTCTTTCTTTCTTTCTTTCTTTCTAGGCTCTTTTCTTTCTTTCCTGATTCCTTTTCTTCTTCTTCTTTATTTTATGGTCACCTTTCTTTCTTTCTTTCTTTCTTTCTTTCTTTCTTTCTTTCTTTCTTTCTTTCTAGGCTCTTTTCTTTCTTTCCTGATTCCTTTTCTTCTTCTTCTTTATTTTATGGTCACCTTTCTTTCTTTCTTTCTTTCTTTCTTTCTTTCTTTCTTTATTTTATGGTCAACTTTCTTTCTTTGTTTCTTTGTTTCTTTCTTTCTTTCTAGGCTCTTTTCTTTCTTTCCTGATTCCTTTTCTTCTTCTTCTTTATTTTATGGTCACCTTTCTTTCTTTCTTTCTTTCTTTCTTTTCTTTCTTTCTTCTTTCTTTTCTTTTTTTTCCTCTTCTTCTTTTTATTTTATAGTCTCCCTTTTCTTTCTTTCTTTCTCTTCTTCTTTCTTTTTTCTTTCTTCTTTTCTTTTATTTTATGGTCATCTTTCTTTCTTTCTTTCTTTATTTTATGGTTCTTTCTTTCTTTCTTTCTTTCTTTCTTTCTTTCTTTGTTCCTCTTCTTCTTCTTTATTTTATGGTCACCTTTCTTTCTTTCTAGTCTCCTTTCTTTCTTTCCTGGTTCCTCTTCTTCTTTATTTTATGGTCAACTTTCTTTCTTTCTTTCTTTCTTTCTTTCTTTCTTTATTTTATGGTTCTTTTTTCTTTTTTCTTTCTTTCTTTTCTTTCTTTCTTTTCTTTCTTTCTTTCTTTCTAGGCTCTTTTCTTTCTTTCCTGATTCCTTTTCTTCTTCTTCTTTATTTTATGGTCACATTTCTTTCTTTCTTTCTTTCTTTCTTTCTTTCTTTCTTTCTTTCTTTCTTTCTTTGTTTCTTCCTCTTCTTCTTCTTTATTTTATGGTCACCTTTCTTTCTTTTCTAGTCTCCTTTCTTTCTTTCCTGTTCCTTTCTTCTTTTTTTATGGTCTTTCTTTTTTCTTTCTTTCTTTTTCTTTTCTTTCTTTATTTTATGTCAACTTTCTTTCTTTCTTTCTTTCTTTCTTTCTTTCTTTCTTTCTTTCTTTTTTTTCTTTCCTGATTCCTTTTCTTCTTCTTCTTTATTTTATGGTCAACTTTCTTTCTTTCTTTCTTTCTTTCTTTCTTTCTTTCTTTCTTTCTTTGTTCCTCTTCTTCTTCTTTATTTTATGGTCACCTTTCTTTCTTTCTAGTCTCCTTTCTTTCTTTCCTGGTTCCTCTTCTTCTTCTTCATTTTATGGTCATCTTTCTTTCTTTCTTTTTCTTTCTTTCTTTATTTATTTTATAGTCAACTTTCTTTCTTTCTTTCTTTCTTTCTTTCTTTCTTTCTTTCTTTCTTTCTTTCTTTCTAGGCTCTTTTCTTTCTTTCCTGATTCCTTTTCTTCTTCTTTATTTTATGGTCACCTTTCTTTCTTTCTTTCTTTCTTTTTCTTTCTTTCTTTTTTTCTTTCTTTCTTTCTTTTTTATGGTCTTTTTTCTTTCTTTCTTTTCTTTCTTTCTTTCTTTTCTTTTTTCTTTCTTTCCTTTCCTTTTCTTCTTCTTTTTTTTTTATGGTTTCTTTCTTTTCTTTCTTTTGTTCCTCTTCTTCTTCTTTATTTTATGGTCACCTTTTCTTTCTTTCTTTTCTCTCCTTTCTTTTCTTTCCTGGTCCTTCTTCTTTATTTCCTTTCTTTCTTTCTTTTTTTTATGGTCAACTTTCTTTCTTTCTTTCTTTCTTTCTTTCTTTCTTTCTTTTCTTTTTCTTTCTTTCTTCTTTCTTTTTTCTTTCTAGTCTCCTTTTCTTTCTTTCCTTTTTCTTCTTTTATTTTATGGTCAACTTTCTTTCTTTCTTTCTTTCTTTCTTTCTTTCCTTTCTTTCTTTCTTTCTTTCTTTTTCCTAGGCTCTTTTCTTTCTTTCCTGATTCCTTTTCTTCTTCTTTTTATTTTATGGTCACCTTTCTTTTTTCTTTCTTTCTTTCTTTCTTTCTTTTTTCTTTCTTTTCTTTCTTTTTTTATTCACCCTTTCTTTCTTTCTTTCCTTTCTTTCTTCCTGGTTTCCTCTTCTTCTTTATTTTATGGTCATTTTCTTTTTCTTTCTTTCTTTCTTTTCTTTCTTTCTTTCTTTCTTTTTTTCTTTCTTCTTTTATGGTTCAATCCTTTCTCTTTCTTTCTTTCTTTCTTTCTTTCTTTCTTTCTTTTGTTCCTCTTCTTCTTCTTTTTATTTTATGGTCTTTTTTTTTTTTCTTTCTAGTCTTTTTCTTTCTTTCCTGGTTCCTCTTCTTCTTTATTTTATGGTCACCTTTTCTTTCTTTCTTTCTTTCTTTCTTTTTTCTTTCTTTTTTTTTCTTTCTTTATTTATTTTATTTTATGGTCATCTTTCTTTCTTTCTTTCTTTTATTTTATGGTCAACTTTCTTTCTTTCTTTTTTCTTTCTTTCTTTCTTTGTTCCTCTTTCTTCTTTCTTTTCTTTCTTTTCTTTCTATTCCTTTTTTCTTTTTCTGGTTCTTTCTTCTTTATTTTATGGTCATCTTTCTTTTCTTTCTTTCTTTTATGGTCAACTTTCTTTCTTTCTTTCTTTCTTTCTTTCTTTCTTTCTTTCTTTGTTCTTTCTTCTTTTTTATTTCTTTCACCTCTTCTTCTTCTTTATTTTATGGTCACCTTTCTTTCTTTCTAGTCTCCTTTCTTTCTTTCCTTTCCTCCTTCTTCTTTATTTTATGGTCATCTTTCTTCTTTCTTTCATTTTATTTATTTTATAGTCATCTTTCTTTCTTTCTTTTCTTTCTTTCTTTTTTTTTCTTTCTTTTCTTTTCTTTTTATTTTATAGTCAACTTTTTTCTTTTTCTTCTTTATTTTTATGGTCTTTTCTTTCTTTTTTCTTTCTTTTTCTTTTCTTCATTTTATTTCTTTTCTTTCTTTCTTTTTTTTTTCTTTCTTTATTTATTTTTATAGTCAACTTTCTTTTTTCTTTCTTTCTTTCTTTCCTTTTCTTTCTAGGCTCTTTTCTTTCTTTCTTTCCTTTTTCTTCTTCTTCTTTTTTTTATGGTCAACTTTCTTTCTTTCTTTCTTTCTTTCTTTCTTTCTTTCTTTCTTTGTTCCTCTTCTTCTTCTTTATTTTATGGTCACCTTCCTTCTTTCCTTTATGTTTTCTACTTTTATAAAATTCAGTCGATAACGTTTGCCGGTTTAATTATTCATTGTATTTTTCCAATTAAAACATCTAACCTAATTATTGATAATAACTCGGGGCCTAGGAAATCTTCTCGATGTAAAAACAATGTTGTTTATGAATTCTAATGCCTTTTGGGAGATTGCATCTTCAATATCAATAATCAAAACAATATTAAATTCTTACATTGGCCACACAAGCACCACACACTCTCGAAAGCTTACTTGCCATTTGTCGAAACATTGTGCAATACGTGCACATGACGGTTATCACTTCACAAACAACTAAAATACAACCATTAAGATAAGATAAATATTAGTAGATAATGCAATAATACGATACAGTACACACTATAAAGAAAAAATCGAAATAATAAAATCTATTATTATAAAAAATACAATGTGTATTTAACTAATATCTTTTATCATGAGAGTTGGTTTTTAAAGCGTGTAAAAGTGTTATCTATCTAAGGTTATACGGCTTGACGGAGTTCACCAATAATGCAAGGTCTCCTGAAGAAAACGGAAAACTCCGGAAGACGAGACAATAATAATAATAATAATAATAATAATAATAATAATAATAAAATAATAATAATAATAATAATTGTAAATGAAAGATTTAAAAGTTAAATAAAGTCAAAGAGACTTTGAATGAAATTAAAGAAAAGGAAAGATTTCATTTAAAAATGGTATAAAACTTACGATTCCTTACATGTTGAGAGGATTGCACAAGTGACTTTCGAATGTTCAACCTTCCGACGCCAATAAGTGATATTTATCAAGTTTTATAGGGTAGACCATCCACCCTATTACATTTTGGTGGAAAAGTTATCAAAGAGTTCATTAGACAAAGGGGTAGAGACGAGGAAAAAAATACATTTCGAGTCATTTCTTAACCTGCTACCTACTAAAAGATTAATTTTAAATTTTCAATCAAAGAGAAGACAGTCAAAAAGCAGAACATTGTTAGGTTAGTATAACTGTAGGAATATGAAAAAAGGGCAGTCAATATGGTCTCTACCCATGCGAATACACACACATGTACATTGCATATACATATATATCCAAGTATAGGATGGGTGTATATGGAATAAATTCCAATAACCAACAAATACTATTCTTAAAAAGTGCTCAATACAGAGTAGAGCAAATATAATTATTTATCCGAAAATTATAACATAAATATGTTATAAAATCACTACAAAAATAGACATTTTGTTTAAAACATCTAGTGTCTTATCAAGTGATGATGCTGAAAGTAGAATAAAGGGTTTTAAAAGGTTCAAATCAATCAAAAAACCCTCGCTAAGGGGAAACTAGTATACTTGTATTTTGATTGGTCACAAAAGCTTGTGTAACAGCGTTTCCCCTAGCGAGGGGTGTTTGATTGATTTGAACCTTTTAAAGCCCTTTATTCTACATTCAACGTCATCACTTGATAAGACACCAGAAGTGTTGAAACAAAATGGCTATATTTGTAGTGATTATATAACATATTTATGTTATAATTTTCGAATAAATAATCATACACGCACATATGCATACATACATATATATATGTATATATATATATACATAATTATTTATTTAAAAATTATATTTATATTATATTTATTTATTTAAAAATTATATTTAAAAATTATATTTAATTTAACAATTTATATATATTTAAATTTATATATATTTAAATTTATATATATTTAAATTTATATATTTTATATTTAAAATTTATATATATTTATATTTAAAAATTATATTTATATTATATTTATTTATTTAAATAATTATATTTAGGCTCTAATTTTGTATCGAGCACTGTTTTTTTAAATAATAACAAAAATACTAAAGGTCTTTGGATTATTTACCTAACGAGTTGGTTCCTATTTTCTATATATCTTTACACACACACACACACACGCACACATATATATATATATATACATGCATATATACACGCACTTACAGGCATTATGCCAAGGAGGAAAGAAAGATGGACCGAAGGCTCCCCTAGAGGTGTGGGATAGAAAAGAGAAATCAAATTAAAGGTAACGAAAAAGAAAAAAAATAACACAATTAGTCAAAAAAGAAAAAAAAAAAAGAGAAAAAAGAAAATGAAAGAATTAAATGTTAAATAAAATCAAACAAACTTAGAATGAAATAAAAAAAGGACAAATTTCATTTAAAAATGGTATAAAATTTACGATTCCTTTCATTTTGAGAGAACCGCACAAGTGTCTTTCCAATGTAAATCTTCCGACGCCAATGAGTCATGTGGCACATGGGAACATCAAAAATCCCTGTGGTAGTTGGAGCCCTCGGATTGGTTGGAAAAAATTCCAGTAGACTAAGTGAAGGGATTCCTGGAAGCCCATGCCTTAAAGAAATTCAAAAATTTGTTCTCTCGAATACAGCCCACACGTTACGAAGGGATATATCTATGTAAAATATGTTTTTTTGATAATGAAAAATGTCATGATGCCATTTCTAACCTTAGGTCACTGGGTGGGACCCGGAACGAAATGTGTACACACCAGAAATCAACCGAACTACGGTATCCTCTATTACTGTGTTATTAATTCATGTCTCTCGTTTGATTAAACCTGTTCTTTACCCATCTTTTGTTCCAGTGTTTTTTACAGCATTATTAAGCAGCACTACGAGCGTTATACGAACTTTATAATTTATGCTGATGAGACAACCATTTATTCCTGTCTCGATAGTAAGTCTGATGAGTTCAATAAGGTCAAATTGGCAGCTGATCTAAAAAATAACTTACAGTCAATTGTTAACTGGGGCAAAGAATGGCTTTTTAATTTTAATGCCAACAAAACTTCCCTCCATTAATCATCTGAGGGATCCCTTTTTTGCACTAACATGTCTTAACATTTGTACGACAGTGGCAGCGTACACAGTGGATTAAACAAAATAAATTGTACTCCTTAATGACAACGCAAGATCGCATACAGCAAGAATAACACAGGAAAAAATTAGAACTGTTCTATTCATCTAACTGATATGTCCCTGAAAAGGATATATTTGTTCGAAGTAGCAAAGTGGTTGTTGACTACTGTAACCGGGTAGGACAATCTAGCAGGTAACCATAATGGACTGGTCCTCGTCGTAGTGGTAGGCAATAGGCGTAGGCAATAGGCGTCGTCCATGTACCTCCACATCAGTCTGTATTTATGGCTGACACCAGCCAATCATATTACTGTGAGGGGGAACCCAGGTGTATGCATATTCATTACACCACTAACTTTACATTATCAGCTTTCAACTTTTATTCTGATAATACAACCGTTTAATACTGTCTCTAGAGTAAGTCTGATCCATTCGATTAGGTCAATTTGGCGGATGATGTAAAAAACAAATTTCAGTCTGTTGCTCATTGGGGCAAAGAAACCCTTGTTAATTCTAATGCCTCCCCCCCCCAAAAAAAAAAAACAAACAAAAAAAACAAACAAAAAAAAACTGCTCTCTATTAATCATCTGAGAGACTCGTTTCTACCTTCCATCAGTATGGCTGATGCTAACCTCCTGGAGAGTAACTCATTGCTTTTTCATTCCTGGCTGACATGAAATGGAAAAACTATAATGAATTCAGTGATAGGTCTTAAGCAGGAGTTCGTTCACTGGGTTCAACAATTTTTCTCTTCAGAATATCTTTCATATCTATAATCTGCTATTCGTTCATTCTTAGAATATTGTGGCCACATATGTTCCGGTGCTCCTGTTACATATTTAAAGATTCTTGATAAAATCCAAAGATGAATCAGCAATATTATTGGTCGTTAATTGGCGTCTCGGTTTCAGTGCCATTCCCACCGCCGTAAAATTGCTTCCCTGTGCCTCTTCTATAAATACTTTCAAGGTAATCTTTCGGATAAATTCTTCGCTATGGTACCTAGACTTAATGAAGCTAAGATTAGAATCAAGGTCACAACAATTCATAATTGAATTGGTTAGATGTAACGGTAATTTCTATGCTAATAATTTCTTTTACCGCACTTCTCGCTTGTGGAATACTTTTCCGTTTCCATGCTTTCCAGACAAATTTTAACTTAAAAAATTTAGATGTAATATCAATCGCTATCTTCTCGCTTCCTGATTACACCTCTATTGTTCTCACTCCTTAATAATGTTTCTGTTTTCTAATTCTTTCCCTGGATGTTAGTGGATTTACGGCCTTGCATTGGGTGAATTTGATTTTAAAAAATGCAGGTTGGTGATATAATGTTTTTGACGGGTGTTTATAGTTGGTAAATCTTTTATTAGAATTATCTTGAAGTATTTTTGACGCAAAGAATTGTGTTCCAGTTCAATTAGGGTGGCATTTGTAAAATCCAAGTTACGCCGATTTTGTTCTTGTGTGTTATAAGTGAGTTTAAATGGTTGTCCCAAAGTGGGTCTCTCTTGTGTTCACAGATGCGGGCTATTAAACTTCGAGACGTCTCTCTAATGTAAGTGTATTTACATTGCAAGCATATTATCTGATAAATCTCGCCATCTGAAGTGGTTTCAGGTCTATTTTCCTTCTTAATTATAACTGCGATTGTCATGGAATACATTCTTAAAGAAGGTAACATATGTTTAGATACCACGACCAGCGTTGACGTAAAAAACAACTCCAACCAGCACACACACACACACACACACACACACACACACACACACACACACACACACACATATATATATATATATATATTAGAATCCAAATCTCGCATAGACAAATTAGAATTATGATACACTTACACACATAAATTATACACACGAAGGCTAGTAAAATGCACGCGAAATCTGCTTAAACAATGAACATGAAACATCACAAAATTGTAATTGAACTTTACTTTATTCTGAGAAACACACGCACACACACACACGCACACAGACATACACATATATATATATATATTAGAGAGTGCAATTTATATTTTATATAATGAAGAAATAATTTATATAAAGAATTAAATAGTAATGTTATTGTGAT